CTTCCCTAGTGATAAGAAGAGGAGAAAAGAATGGGAAGATGCAGCAAACATGCAGTTGTAATTGTGGAAGAAGTCAATGTGCCTTCTAAAAGTCTCTAAACAATTAAGACAGTAAGATATATATTTATGCTTTAAATACCCGCGTCTTTGTTCTCTCCACTAGTGGAGAGGACATTTTTAAATATAACTCTGATTGTATTCGTCTGAAAGAAGAAAGTCATATACACCTAGGATGGCTTGAGGGTGAGTAAATTATGGGGTAATTTTAATTTTTGGGTGAAGTATCCCTTTAATTAAAAAAAAATAATAATTGAGGAGACAAATTCTTTAACAATTTATGAAACAATACAAAACAAAATGTAGTATTCGTTATTTATAAAATACTGCTGACAAAGTGCATAATTGTATGAACAACTAGCCAGATTTAGGTCTCAGTTACTTGTAAGCTGTATGTATTTTATTCACTAGAACAGACTCATTAGAATAATTTGTTCATAAATCTGACTACACTGGTTGCACGGTATGCATTCGAGTCACTAAAAAGAGCTCATTAATTACAGTAATTTGTTCCAAAAATTTAATTTACACGAAATCATCAAATTACGTAAATATATCAACTGCATGCAACAACAAATTAAAAAGAACTCGAAAGTCATTTGTTCGGGAAATCGAACTATACTCGTCACGCTGTACGTGTTTGATTCACTACAATGAATCGACTCATTAGAGTCATTCATTCGGGAATCAGATTACACGTGTTGCACGGTATGTGTTTAAGTGTCTGTTTTGTGTTGTAGATTCAGCAGCAGTGTTGTAGAGGCATTCAAGTATTGCAGGTAAGTCTCAAGTATGCAGTAGAACAGTTCATGGACCTTTTTAAAAAAAAATGGAATTGGTTCTGAATAAAAATGGCCTTTACCTCCATCCCCATCTTGTCCATTGTCCTCCAGAGGTTGTTGTAGTCCATGTAGGCAAGAGGGTTCCACACTGGAGGGAAAGGCCCTTTGAATGCATGTGATTTGCCCTTGGAAACAAGAAACAGTGTCTGTAAGAACCTGCTACCTTAGCACCAAATAATGAAAATTGTGATTATTATTTTGTCATTGTTGACGTAATGTCTTTATCATAGCCATCATGACCTCATTATCATTAGAAGTGTAACCAGTCTGGAATGGAAAATGTTTTTTGCTGCCTAAAATATACGTAACTGCATTTCGCCTGGATTGGAATCAAATCAGTTAATGGAGGGCCTCTGTTCACAGCCTTTACAGTTTGCGTTAATACAACCAGATGATCAGAAACAACTCGACCTTATCAAATCTCAGTAAGATTTTATGATTTTCACATAAAAATGTGACAGTCTTCTTTATTAAGAGCAGGAGAAAGATATATATGCTCATTTAGAGAGTTGGAGTGGAATATACAATAATGATAAAGCATCTATAAATAGACATTAATGATAACGCTAATTCAGTAAAAAGAAAATTCATAATCACGGATAATGACAATATTAGTCTTTGGCAAACAGCGGCTATATGACACAAGCTGTTCACACATCGCTTGCTTCCCACAGTAGTGGAAACGCTTAGTCAGTACGATCATTCTCTGCGGCTGGCCAATGGGGTAACTATATGCAGACATGACTTCATACCTGGATTGCTCTGTTGCTGTGGGGCTCTTAAATAAGCACCATTGGGCTGATTGATTAATGTTTAACTACACATCAAAGACGAAGCACTGCGTTTCAATATGTTGTTCTTCACCATAAAGTCACTCATGATCAGTGTTGGGGAAAGTTATTTTTAAAAGTAATGCGTTACAATATTGCGTTACTCCATAAAAAAGTAACTAATTACGTTACTTAGTTACTTTTTATGGAAAGTAATGCGTTACGTTACTTTCGCGTTACTTTTAAAATCTGGACAGGGCTTGCTTGTCCAAATGGGGAGTCATCTCAATTATCACCAGTAAAATATGGAGTGCCACAAGGATCTGTCCTAGGTCCTCTGCTATTTTCGATATACATGTTGCCCCTTGGTAATATTATTAGAAAATACGGGATTAGCTTCCGCTGTCAATCAATAAATTGAAAAAAAAAAGTAACTTGCGTTACTTATTTGAAAAAGTAACTCAGATATTCTCTTGTAAATTAAAAAGTAATGCGTTACTTTACTAGTTACTTTACTAGTAACTCGCGTTACTTGTAATGCGTTACCCCCAAAACTGCTCATGATTACTAAACCCATAATGATAATTAAATTGAAATCCATGATAAAGAAGGCTCTAGATTGACAGTTGAAAGCGTGCTAAAGGTTACTGCGGCACTGAATCAGGCAACCTAGTCAAAACTGCTGACAAAATCAAAGACCTGTCACCTAGAAAGATTCTCACGCACCCCTGGGTTTGACGTCCAGCGTTCACTTCCGAGCAATTTGTCATGACATAGTGATTTGTGCATTTTCAGCACACCGTTTTGGAAAACCCTGTGATTTTATTGCTTGCAGAAAACATCTGAGGGGAACCAGAGTGGTTTTTGAGTAGGACTAGAATGCACTTAGTAGGACAGATAAATGATTGAACACCTCAAATATCAAACACCGCAAAACACTTGTCAGCACTGCAGGGACGCCATGCTCCTACTTCTTTGAGCGGGCACTATGGCAGTTCTGACTCACCTGGTGCCCTAAACAAGACAAAACATGACCAAAATCAAAGAAAGAAATCATAACTTAGCAGTCCAGTGGTAGTTTTCATTTAGCATTCCAGGGTTCAAATCTAGCCTATTATATTAATTAAAAAAGGCAACTGAACTTGACACATTAAGAACCATGCTTGATTATACATTTACATTTATCTATTTGCCGACACTTTTATCCAAAGCGCCTTCCATTGCATTTAAGCAGGGCTCGCAAAATTTCAAAATCCTTGGTAGCCCTTCGGGCAGGCACTCTTCAAATTTTGGTATCCTGAAATAAATTTAGCAGTCGAAATGTCAATCAAAAACATTTTCAAAACACATATATAAACAAATATCAAGGAAGGAAATTTATTTCACTGTTTACAGTGTATCTGCAGAATTTAAAAAAATAAATTTAAGGCTTTTTAATTACCCTTTTTAAGAGCTAAACAATTAAAAATAATACCATATAAGCAGGGTCGGCAATGTACATGGTAACATATTAAACAGTAAAATGACATAATTTGCAGTTCAGATACAGGTTTTCACAAAACAAAAATGATAAAGATCACATTTCAGCCTTTAAACCATTTTTAAGAAAAGGGATGAGTCAAACGAATAAATTATTTTATTAATTTAAAGCATAAATATATATCTTAATTGTTTAGAGACTTTTAGAAGGCACATTGACTTCTTCCACATTTACAACTGCGTGTTTGCTGCATAAAAACATGGGCCGATTTTCATGTTGATCTAAACAAAAACAGCAGAAGGGCTTACTGAAAATGCAAATTAATTATTTGCCACAAGGTCGGGCTTTTGAAACGGCAGAAATATAGCTGCGTTCATAAACGCTACTTTATCAGGCATTACAGGTAAGATGAAATGAAAATGCCATCGAAACTTTTCTGAAGACAGTCAGTTCCCTTCAGAGATACATTCATATATAAACACCCGTGCCACGTTTTGAACCCTGTACTTAAGATAGCCCGTCGGGCAGGGCGGTGATGCATTTTGGTTGCCCGACTGGAAGATAGCCTCGGGACGTCGGGTTAGCAATTTTGCGAGCCCTGTTTAAAGTTTCAATTCATACAGTTCATGCATTCCCTGACAATCGAACCCATGAACCCATGAACCCATGACCTCTGCATTAGTGCCATGCTCTATTGTTTGAGCTACAGTAATTATAAAACATATATATTTTTAAAATTTAAAATACACTTCTGATGGGAAACATGCATGACATTTCTTCAGCAATGTCAGTTAAACCCATATATCTTACTAAAATTGTCTCCTTGGCCTTAAGTTGGGTTTAAAAAAAAAAAGCATATGTATAATGTTCTTTCATAATTTATGATCTAAGTAAGGTAAGGTAATGTAACTTTATTTGTCCCCTTTGGGAAAATTATTTGCAGCATTATCAACAGACATTTCATCAGACTAACAACAACATAAAAAAAAAACAATAACAGTCCTCTCACATAATACAATAAACAACAACACTAAAATAAGATGCCAGGCCAGCTGACTTCATGGTTCCTTACTACTATTTAGCAGTCTTATTGCCTTTGAACGTGACTTAGCCATTTGCATTTCTAAGCCAACTAACACTACAGGAAAACATGTTCAGCTAAATAAGGGACCATGACATTTCCATATCATTTGCGAGCCTACCAGACCAATGCTGGAGAGGACACTGGATCGCTCAGCATCCAGCAACAGGTCTGTTCCCATGGCGACAGACTTGAGGTGGGGATATGGTGTGCATCTCTTATGATATCCTTTCAGCCAGAGCAAAACCTAAGTCTCTCTACTATCACTAACCTCATACTGCTCTATATCCACACTGCCGCCCACCACTTGGTTACAAGCAATGAAATGAGACCACATCCTGTCCGACGGCAATTGTATCATCCTCCAAATTAATATTCTGTTTGCCTGTATGTTACAGTATTGACTTTTTACAGAATGAAAATATATTAAACAAGCAGTTATTATAAGCAGCTGTGCACAATGTTTTGCATTTTTTGCACCGATATTGGCAGATACAGATAAGCGTATAACTGTTTTGCTGTTATACCGATAACCAATAAATGACCAATATTAAAATCCTAACACTACTTTGTCTAAATAAATAAATAAAAAAACGAAAAATCAATCATTTAAAATGCAACCTGCGAGTTTAAGCATTGCAACATTAAATTTACAATATTAAAAATGCATATTTACTTTGATTTGCTAAAGATTATTAGTGTTTTAAAGATTAAGTGAGTGCTAAATGAATGCAAAATTTATCTAAATATAAATAAGCATGAGCAATTAAATATCCAATATCAGTCGATATAAATCGAATTCAGCCAATACAATATAAAAATGTCTAATATCAATAACCAATACGGTACAGATACGCTTTACATTCCTAGGAAACAGTAATTATTTCGGCAAGTCTGTTTGGTGATGCTAGTTACATAGATCTTACATCTATCCACATTCCCTTGCATAATAGTAAAACTATACGCATATTACATATCATTATAATTAATTGCAATAGAAACAATAATAATGTAATTCCAAGTAATTCCACAACATTAATATACAATAAGTATATGTGGTTTATTAGTATTGCTCAGAATCTTGCCACTAATGTAAATGTACAGTTCTGCAAACACTGTACAATAGGCTGTATTAATTTTTAACAACACTGCCTTTGCACAACAGTTCAATCATAATCATATTAATATGCTAAAGCTGTCTGAAAGAACAGTTGCATGTGAGTTCCTCACGGATCGAGGCAGAGGAAACTGGATCTGGCCTTTAGGATTACAGCTATAGAAAAGCTGATTACACGGGCGCCTTGGCTGCATGCTCACCTTAATTATAAAATGGTCTGCACATTGTAAGGCCCTTATTGGCTAATACTGCCTCAAGGCCAATAAGTGATTGCTGAGTAACAGGTGATACTATAAAAGCGGTTGTAAAACTTTCAACAAAGTGTGCAGAAGCAGATTTAACTGACTAAGTGAGGATCTGATGAAACTACCTAAAAATGGACACAGTTCAGCAAAAGCAGAAAGTTGTCAGATAATATCGAGGATTAACTCAAAAGGTGAATTATGCCACAGTTGTCATAGTCAACAACAGACCAGATCAATAGAGATTAATTTATTCATTCCTCAATGACAAAGCAACATATTGTTAGTGACCTATGACAATTAAAGTGCAGTCACATTAGCAAAATTTCACGAACAAAAAAGGTTTGTCAATAGTGTAGCAATGTAAACACCACAGCTCCCACTAAAGTCACTTTCAAATCAAGCAGCTTTCTGTTGTTCAACACAGTGAATCCCCATGACTAACCTGAAACCTTTGCGAAATCTTTCGCACTGATGCCAAATTACAGATCGCATGGATTCCGATTAAATCCCCCCACACACAATTTTAGCTGGAAAATGTAATCTGGCTTTATTAATTAGTGGGTTGATCACCAGTAAAAATTCTCTCTGATGTGACATTTGCATAGCTCAACATTAAAAATCTGACTTCGTGCCTCTGTGGACTGAAGTGATCTGTTTATGAGAGGGAAACGCCCCTGATCCCAAAGACAGAGCCAGACATCATGGTGTGAGAAAACGTGAGAGAGAGAGAGAGACAGAGAAAAAGAGAGTGTGTCCCCTCAATCCTGATAGCGATTGTCTTTTGATGAGGAGTGCTGCCATGGTAACCCACAGGGATGCTCCGATTAGAAGATAATGGCACGAGGAGAGAGGAGAACATACACTAACACAAACACACACATCATTAATCATTAGGACAGACACATTCGCAGTCATTCTATTTAAATCACAACACTTACCAAAAAGCAGCCTATAGCAAGACAGACCAGAACAGTATTGGTTGAAATGAAGAAGCCAAATGAAAACGTTATGTAGCGCAGCTCTGATCCTCTCCTTTATTTTCAAGTAGTATCATTGAGCCTCTGAACAGCATCTCTCTTACAGATGTCTGAATCCGTGCTGATGCATTCTTCAACAAATAAAGCCTTGAAATCAATCAGATATGCCTACATGTGTTCATAGCCTCTTCCTGGCGTCTACCTCTTTCTGCATTAGTGCCTTTGGGTTTATTCTGACAAAGCCTGTTAAGGAACAGCTGGCTTGACATTGACCTTGACAATGATTGTGCTGTCAAACTGCACAACCCAAGGAATGGGAACCAAGGATTGTTTTTTTAATGCAGGGGTTGTATTTTTATAGAAATGACTCCAGCAGGAACATGAGGCACTGTACTGTAGCTCAAAAGATCAAAAACATGCTCGCAAACAAACAAAAATAAATAAATAAATAAAGAGAATAAAAACAATAAAGGGTTAGTTGAATAAAATTCTGTCTTCATTCACCCTTATGTTCTTCTGTGGAAGACAGAAGGTGATTTCGTCAAACATGCACTACTGTTTAAATTTGGGGTCAATAAGATTTTTTTTTTTTTACAAGAAATTAATACTTTTCATTCAGCAAGGATGCATTAAACTGATCTCAAATTCAGCTCACTGACTCGCCACGTTTAGTAGACCACTGAAACAACTAGCTATCATATGACTTGCATTATGGAATACAGTGCATGAGTCATCTGGACCACTTTTATGATATTTTATGTTTTTGCTGCTTTTCAAAGCTTAAAAACACCAATTATTGTAACTGCATAGAAAAGAACAACCTGCACATTCTGCAACATTTCTCCTTTTGTGTTCAACGGACAAAAGAAAGTCATAGGTTTGGAACAACAATTTTCATGATTCCTGATTTCTAATATTGAGAGGATTTAGGATATTGAGACCGAAAGCAAAGTTAAAGTTTCAGATCTTATAAATATTCAGCATTAACCAAATATTTACACTTATAATGTATAGATGTGATGGTATGGTGTTACACAGTTAACTAGTCTGCTGGGGAAAGCGAAGTATTATGGGAAACATGCCAATGGGTCTTTTCCACAGCAACTGAAATCCAGCTCCATCCTGACATAATCTACAATGAACACTCCAATGAATCTCCACCATGACCTTTCCCTTTGTGCACACTGCCTTCTTGAGTATGTGTGAGTTGTTGGTTTGCTGGTCTCCATCTCAAGAACCCTTTTGATTTACCATGATAACTTTAAAACCACCTGCATTTTTCTTATGATATATGACTACAGAAAGCAGTAAAGCCCACAGGATAAAGAGCAGTACTAAAAATCCAGTAATTTATCCCTGTAATAGCAGGGTCAGAGCGGAGAAGACTACAGCAATCTACAGCCAAATCTAATAAGGTCATGCAGTGTGCATGTGCTAAGGGCAGTGATGCGTCTACCCAAATTGGATATGGGGCAGGAGGAGGGGAGGCTGGTTTCTTGAGTTCCGCCCTTCTTACCCACTCCAAGCGTCTGAAACCATATTACAGACTTCCTTCAGGCAGCGATTAGCATCTCCAGGCTTGAGCGCAGCACACTAATGTGAAGTAGGGACTCTATATTCAGCCCTGTTCAGCTGAGCGAACCGGGGCTAGCTCTAACTTCCTGTGCATTAAGACATGAGTGTGCTCAAACAAAAGGCTGTATTATTAGCCGAAGCTCTGGCCTGAGGCTGTGAAGAGAGCTGGATTTTGAGACAGGGGAAAAATCTTGCTTGAATTTCACAGATGTTTTGCTTTTGATTCGGTAATAAGTCTAAGCTGCTACATGTGTAGGCCTTCACTGAGGTTTACCTTCACATAGTGAACCAGAGACGACTCCTCGTTGACTTTGTATGTTTTCACGCCGTACTGTTTGGCTATTCTCAGGATGCGGTTTTGAGTGGGCCCAATGTACGCTCCTCCCAGATCCACCCATTTCGTCTCCTTATTCTGAAAGCACACACAATTTGTGTCAGATTCACAATGAAATAGTCACTAAAATTTCTACAAGCCACATTGAGACCAAAAAAGGAAAAACAAGAAGGAAGTGTTAGAATATGCATGCAAAGACAGCAGATTCCCTTCCCTTGTATAGGCAGCGTCCTACTCGGCAACTTGAAACTCAGTTTTTACGGTTTCACCCTTCTTTTGACAAACTCGCTGTGGTGGCAAACATCTGACCTGAGCCAAATGACTCCGTGAATGAAACTCATGACTGAAAATCGGATAAAAAAATGGATTCCAGGGCGTTTTAAAATTTATAGAGACATTTTTCTAACTTTATTAGACGTATGCATTATCTTTTGTCAAATTCTTACATTTAATCAATAAATTCAATTAGAATAACAAGACACTGTTATCAATCATATTAAACCAGTATCAACTATATCCATTTTGCAGTGCAGAAGTAGCACAGACACTGCATCACAAGGAGTGTATGTGAGTTTATGTTTTGTGAGTGACATAATAAATAACGTCAAGTTGCACGTTGTTAAAACAATAATTATGATATTATCGTATCGCGCACCCCTGGTTGTGACTATAGTCAAGAGACTCATGTTCCTATCACACATAAAAGCAGACTGTGTGTCGTACAATGCAGTAATTTCATTTGCTTCACATGAGTATCTTACCTGAACAGTGTAGGTTCTTCCACCAACGCGATTTCTGGCTTCCAGGAGCACAGGATTGAGGCCGCTCTCCACCAACAGCTTGGCGGCACTCAGACCTGTGAATTGGGAACGTAAAATGCAGACTGATTTTTAGTAGACATAGAATATGTAAAAATATCTGATAGATTGGTCTTTAAGAAAACTTATTTTTATTCAGATGATGAGGAGAGAGAGGGAAATGCATTTGAACTTGTGTCAACAGCATAAGAACAGATCAGTACTTTGGCTAAATGCTAAGACAGAGCTTTAGAGTACATTTGAGATGCCAGTAGCCTGTGGTCTAATCTAGAATACTTTTTTTTTTCAAACTGTTCCTGTCCTGATAATATTAAAGGTTGTTCCTGTCTTTATAACTAAGTTTACCAATGACAATGTTGCAATTGGCTTTCTATTGTGTGTGTCATCATGACTGACCTGCTAAAAATAACATCTACATATTTAAAACTCTTTTGTGTAAACAAGTTGTGGTGTAGAAATATTTTGTTTGCCATTTGCCTCAACTTGTAAAGGGAAGACACAGGGGTCTGTCTTGGTAAAATTAGTCAAATGGGCATAAGAGTGGCATATTCATATTAGGAACTGAAAATATAATCAAATTACCCAAAACATCTAATGAACACGAGAGGAGTAGGAGATGTGTAGAACTTTGTGAATGGTGGGCGTTTCCAATTCTGTGGAAATCTGCAGGGCTTAACAAGGATTTTTAAAAAAAAATACAGACCTGGTTTGTCCTGTAGTTCTCACTTGCCCTGCAAACTTTTCCCAGGAACTGCCACAAAAATAATTAAGAAAACAAAACAAAACAAAAAAATACAATAACATAAAAAAATTGTGTATGTACACTTCAGAAGGTCAGGGTTTGTAAGCCTTTTCAAAGAAGTCTCTTATGCTCACCAAGGCTGCATTTATTTGATCAAAAATACAGGCAACACAGCACTGGGGCAATAATACAATGACATCTGCATCAACCAGCCTTATTGTTGAAGCCTTTGTGTCATTGGTAAGAGAAAAAAAAATCTTCTCAGTATCTAAGATGTCTCTTGGGGAACACTCTCAGTATAAAACCACCATATCTTTCAATAAATCTTTGCATCTTCCCTGTAATCACTGAGATTCCTGTTTAAACCCCTGACACTGTGCAGTGATTATGGTGTCAGACCAATAAACCAACAGTTTCCTCCAATGCATTGCTCAAAACTAGAAACAATAAGTGAGAACTAGGCTCCCTGCAAGCAAAAATCACAAGTCAAATACCAATTCACAGGACTTTTCTGACTCTGAACACACACACATAAGCACTTCCTCTCCTTACAGAGGAAGTAAAACTTCTCCTGTGAATTTCATAAGATGTAATAACTTTTTACCATGCTGGAAATAAAAACTAGATTAATATAATATATATACATACAAACATGCATTTAATAAAAAACAAGTTAAGTTGGTCTTTTGCCCTTATGGCAATTAATATGTGATTAATATGTGATCATAAAACCTGTGTAAAAACAACATTTAAAAACAATGAAACAATATGTGATTGGAAAAACAACATTTAGATAAAAGTTTAATACAGTTTCAGATGGAGTATACCACATTACACATCCGGATAATACAGTGTCACTGCTTAAAATGGCTTGTCAAACAAAAAATAAATAAAAAGATTAACCTGTTTTCTAAAATTCGGTTACAGCCACAGTGATGTGACAATGCAGCAGAGAACATCTGAGGTCAAAGCATGACCTTGGAAGTTTATATAATACTACAAACTGCCTTTGATAAGCAGAGAAATTGGCAGACAAACAGCTTACCCAAACACACGGGTCAAACATCTGAAACACTCTCCATTTGGGTTCTATGGCCAGCAGTGACCCACATCACGCAGTGCTACTAACACACACTTCATGCTCTCAGAAATAACAGATACAGTGGGTATAGAAAATAATCACCCCCCTTTAAAAGAATCACATTTTGTTGCTTTGCAACCTGAAATGAAGACGGACACAGTTTTTGCTTTATCCAGCTGCATTTACTCAGTGCATCTTATAACATCCAAGTGAAAGATATAACACCAACATGTCAGAAAAAAAAAAACAGAATTTGATGGTGAGCGTTTGGTGGACTGCAGTCTTCAAGTCATTGCACAGATTTTCAATGGGGTTTAAGTCTGGGCTTTGACTAGGCCATGCCAGGACATTCGCCTTTTTCTCCTTCAACCACTGTGTGGTCAGTTTTGCTGTGTGCTTTGGGTCATTGTCATGTTGGAAGGTAAACCATCTTCCCATTAACAACTTTCTGGCAGAGGGCAGCAGATTTTCCTCAAGAATTTGATGGTATTTTGCCTCATCTATTTTTCCTTCTATCCTCACAAGTGCTCCAGTCGCTGCTGCAGAGAAACACCCCCATAACAGAATACTACCACCTCCATGCTAAACGTCATGCAAGGACATTCACCTTTTTCTCCTTCAATCACTGTGTGCTCAGTTTTGCTGTGTGCTTTGGGTCATTGTCATGTTGGAAGGTAAACCATCTTCCCATTAACAACTTTCTGGCAGAGGGCAGCAGATTTTCCTCAAGAATTTGATGGTATTTTGCCTCATCTATTTTTCCTTCTATCCTCACAAGTGCTCCAGTCGCTGCTGCAGAGAAACACCCCCATAACAGAATACTACCACCTCCATGCTAAACTGTAGGAATGGTGTTATTTGGATTATATTTCTGCCAGACATATTGTTTGTTGTTAATGCAAAATAATTAAATTTTAGTCTCATCTCCCTCCGAATCTTCAAGGTGTGTTTTAGCAAACTCAGTGTCCGAATTCACTACTCGTTTTCATTCACTTCTTCTAGTGAACTGAATTAGTGACCTAATGTAGGGAATAGTGAATGAGGGTATACAAGGGGCGATTTCGGACACAGCCATAGACTTCACTGTGTTTCTAGGCATTGATAAATCCTTTGAAGTTTTTTTTGTATCCATCTCCTGACTTGCCTGTCCACAACTTTATCCTGGAGATCCTTTGACAGTGCCTTGCCACCCATAGCTGATTGTTTGCTTCAGTTGCACTACCAAGGACTGAAATGCTCCAGGAAAGCCCTTTTCATGCTGAGCTAATCAAAATGAACACAGCTGATCACAGTTGAAAGTCAGATGATGGCTTTAGCTTTTTTTCTGACATGTTGGTGTTATATCTTTCACTTGGATGTTATAAGTTGCACTGAGTAAATACATCTGGATAAAACAAAAACTGTGACCGTCTTCATTTCAGGCTGCAAAGCAACAAAATGTGATAATTTTAAAGGGGGTGATTCTTTTCTATATACCCACTGTACAAAAGAAACCGCAGAGGCTTACAATCCCTGGCCACAGCTGTGAAGTCTGATATCTGACAGGTTTGAAATGATTGTTTTTTCTAAATGATGTTTTGGCTGAGCCACAGAGCTAGAAAGAAATCCAATATAAACCTATAAGGCTTTGTTCACACTACTCACAAAGGCAATTTGGTTTTCAAATCCAATATTTAGGATTGACTGTCTATTTAGCAAGTGATGAAATCTGATCTGTTTGTTCAGACAGCGTAGACAATATTACATGTATACATTCAGACTCTCATATGGAGACTCTCATACACTAACTGAGAGTGGCTGTCAGTGTGGAAAAAGAAGATAAAACCAGGTCATTTTGTCTCTGCTCATGTCCATCATGGCATCTCACCATGATGCTGAATTCACATTGTCAACAAAAGTAACATTTTACAACTTCATTGATTTTACAACTTCATTGATTTTTAAACATTGAAATTTAATGTTTTTGGTGCTCTGACTACAAAAAAACAAAACAAAAAAAGGCCAGTCTGAACAAAGCCGAGAACAATAAATGAGCTCGCAGTCAGATATGTTGCAGTGAAACCTGATTATTTAACCAGGTGGCGTGAGTAGGAGGTATTCAAGTCTCATCCCAAAGAGATGGAGAATGGAAATATTCCAAGAACCAATTCAACACAACCTCATATTTCACACGTTTATGCAATTGACCTTTCGCATAGACCTGTCCCCCTTAGTTACTGTTGCTACATCTGGCAAGCCATGGCGCTCTCACGCCACACATCAAGTTCTCACACAGTGAAAAACACATCGCGGAGCAAAGAGGAGACTGACAACGCGCTGACAGATGTGTTTAATGTGTCGTAACAGATCGCTGTACTGGCTTAGTTCAAGCGGCACGTGAACCAATCATTTCTTCATTTTTACTAGTTATAGCACGAAATAAACATGAATGAACATCAGAAGGTATCTTGTTTCAACCGCAAAAAGACGTCAATACACACCATTTTTCAAGTTCAAGTCCACCAACGTAAATCTATTCTCCTGTCTGGTTTGTTCGTTGGACAAAATGGCAGATTCGGCATTATGATTGGTCTGATCACATGTCAATCAAACTCCCGGCAATTACCGGGTGTGCCTCACACGTCCTGAAAAGTGAAGCTGCGGGCTCTTTGATCGCCCCCTGGTGGCTGGCTGCAGTACAGGTCATAAACCCCGCCCTCTCCATGTAAACGAATGGGACAAGAGTCAAAATAAAAAAATTAATTACACTTCCAATACAATTTTCCGAAAGATGGTTTTGGTCATTTAAGGTAGTTGTTATCACGCTGATATATGTTCAATTGTTCATTTTTGTGATAAGTTTGATTTTAGCTAGTAATTTGATGCTATAAAAACGGGGCGTGTCATTATGGTTGATTGGGTCTGCGGGAGTTTGGGCGGGAGTTTGATACCGCGGCTCCACCTCTCGACACTAATCTCTAATCACGAATCTCTACTGCGCAGACTCTGGCTCCAAATGACGTAATTTACTCGAGATGGCAGCGGCCATACTGAGATGCTTTGGCTTCACTTTTCTATAGTGGAAGGAAGTGGAGACGCGTCGTCCATCTTTTTTTACAGTCTATGGCAATTACCGATGATACCATATCAAGGACAGTGCAAACAGTCATACTCACTAACACACATATTTGAGAGTTCTATGTCTATAAAATATTATATGATCTGTATGTTGTGAT